TAACTCCCAAGTTCAGGCTCTAAACCCCTGTATTCCACTGCCTCCTAGCATGCATCTGCACAATGGGAAAGTAAGACTTTCTTCACAACTGCAACGGTGAGGCCACTTGATATGGACGTAGTGAATGAGAACAACACCTTTCTTGCATTTCTCAAGCTAGAAATACCAAGGCAGACTGTTCACAGAAGGGTAAAGGAGGGCAACCTTAGAAGTTTACTTGATTTTGCAAAATAAATATAACAGTATTTCAAGTTTCAGAGAATGTCTATCAGATTTAAATATTTAAATGTTAATTCTTGGGGTGGGAGCAGGAGACAGTGTGGGAGAGTCATTCCCTACTTGACTCGAGTTATAGGGCATGCAAGAGCAGGCATGTACAAAGATTCACATTTAGCAAGGTGTACACAGAGTGCTTCAGCGAGAAGACAGAAGATGAAATCCTTACACATGCTTTCCCAAACAAATACTGTAAAATCTAATCTGCTGTGCATGACAGGAGGCAGGCAGCTGTCATCTGGAGTCAGACTTCCCTGGATGTGTTTAGTTTGGGAAATGGTAAAACAGCTCTCTTCTGCCCAGACCTAGTACTGATTGATTTTGTCCTGTCTCTATGTAACAGCTGACAAGACTATGCTCATAAATAACACTTGCTATTCCTAATACACATTAAAAAGTAACGCATTCTTTATTGTCGAAATTCTCTGTGCTACATATCTATACAGAAAGAATAGAGTTTAACCAAAAAGAAAAAGGAACTTGTGAAATTTTCATTCTTACCTTTAATTTTACATGAAATTGAGCCATTTTCCTGGAAAATTAAAATGCAGCAAGCTGTCTTTACATCCAGTGGTACCTGGTACCCAAGAAGGAAAGTAGTAGCGTTATTGGGCTCAGACTCTGACGACCTACCATTCAAGATTTTCAATACGCTGAGATTGCTGAGCCAAGGCCATAGCAACTAAGAAGGGTATTTGCCACGGTGCTTCAGCGCCTCCTTGATTAAGCCATTACAGACTCCTTCCCGGAGGGTGACACTTATGCTCCATAGCTATTGGAAAAGGAAAGGATGAGTTGTTGTGAGATATTTTTATTTCAAATGATTACTGAGAGAACAAGAATTCATCAAATTTTCATCTAGACAAGACCTTCAAGAAAGCTCAAATCCACCTCCGTGTTCTTGTGTATAAAATCCCTGTCAGGAAACTGACAGCTCAGTGTAGAGATAAATCACAACGAACATCCATGGCTTCTAGGAGAAGGAGAGGCTGCATCTAACAAAACTGCCAGCAGCTTAAAAAATGTTCTTGCCTAACGCAGCCTCAAGAAACTTAATCATACTTACTAAAATTCTTGCTTGCTAGCTTTTTCCTAGGCAGCAAAATTGCCCCTCATGTATAACACCCATCCAGGTAGTATGAATGTGGAATACTTTAGGCTGGTTTAGCAACCATAAGTTGAATCTCCTTGTATAAATATGTACAAATATATTTGTAATGATTGGGACAGTGACTAATAGTGTTTATTTCTGGAGGCACCCTTAACATCTATGGGATGCATGGATCTCTTTTTACTCTGATTCCCAAAGCTGTTTGCTCCCAGACCAGAAGATGTTCCCTTTATGGAGATAAAAGAATGCCCCCTAGTGAAAAAATGTTTCCCAACAGTCCAACACAGACATTCCATTTCCATTTTTCCTGCAGAGAATCTGGGGCCCCAGCATGAGTGTGACTGCATTTCAGAGGCTAAGGCCCAGCACACTCTCCTCAAGAGCCAATAAATTGTTTGAGAGCTGAGAAAAATCTGTTGGCTCCAAAGTTTTTTTAATTTCAAAACAAATTAGTAAATTTGATTGTGTCTGAAAATTGTGACATATCAACTGGTCACAAGCAACTCAACTCATTAAAGTTATATACAGATTACACTTAATGTGGGATGTTGGTTCATTTTAGTATTTTCTTTGATGAGGTACAGGGCCTCTTAAAATAAGAGTTAAGGACCTATTTTCCATAGAGTTGATCTCTCTCAAACACTCTTCATGACCATTGACATGGCACATTTAAGTCTTGATACAACTCTCTTAACCACATTAAAAACAATTCTTTATGCATGCAAAGTGCTTGGTCAAGTTTACACATAACTCCATTCAAGTCATTTAGTCTTTACAGTAATAAATCAGGACAGATTGTTTTAAAATTTTGGATAAGGTAGGGTTTGTTTTTCTTTTCTTCTTTGCCAAAATATAAAATATTATGAATTCTGAAGCAAAACAAAATCAAAATCAAAACAGATGAACATGCACACTTCAAATGAAAACAAACTACTAATTTGAAATGGCTTATGTAGACTTTGATGAGATATAATACATAGCATGTGGCTCCCAAGTCAGAGACTCTGAAGAAGAGGTGTGTGACCTGGGGCAAGTTATTTAACCTCTCTGTGTCTTAGTAACTTCAAGCGTAAAATGGGTGGAAAAGAGTATTTACCTCACCAGATTGCTGTGACGTTTAAATGAATTCATATACATGAAACACCTAGAACAGTACTTGTTACATAGTAAGAGTTCAATGAATGCTAGCAGTTATCTAATTTAATGCTAGCAATTAATAAATATGTTATTCAATCAAAATTTATCGGTCTTTGATCCTCAAAAATAGAACAATTTAAGATTTGGGATAAATTAACTCTTACCAAAACAAGTGGACACATCCATAAAAACACTCATCATCTATTTTGAAACTTTTAATTTGGAAATAATTTCAAGCTTAGAAAAAGTTACAAAAACAAAAGTATTACTAGAAGTATTCATGAACTCTCCAGCCAAACTTATTGTTAACATTTTATTCATTTGTTTTATTATTTGTACTTCAGACGACTGCAAGCTGTGTCTGCATTTCTTATTTCTAATTTATTATGTATTAATTTTCTATTTCTGAATAAAAAATCATCACAAGTTTGGTGGTTTGAAACACCACCTGTTGATAAGCTCACAGTGGAAGTCAGAAGTCTGGGCACATGACTAGGTTCTCTGCCCAGAACTGACAAGGATGAAATGAAGGAACTGGCCAAGCTGAGCTCCTTTTTGGGACATCTTTCTTTGTTGTCAGTCAAATTCATTTCCTTGCAGGTATAGGACTGGGGTCTCCATTTCCTTGCTGTCTGGAAAACAAGGGCCACTCTCAGATACTACAGATCACCCACCTTCCTTGCAACATGGCTCCATCCATCTCCAAAGCCAGCGAAGGAGAATCTTCCTCATGGTAAATTCTTCTCAGGCTTTGAATCTCCCTCCCAAGGAGGAGCCCAGTTCCTTTTAAGGGCTCACTGATTAGGTTAGGCTCACACAGGATAACTATTTCTCTTTCTTAAAGTTGTCTGATTTGGGACCTTAATTAGATCTGCAAAATCCCCTCATAGCAGCACCTAGATTAGTGTTTGAATAACTGGGAGAAGCTGTGTATGTATCAAGGGATGGGAATTTGGGGAGCCATCTTGGAATTCTGCCTACCATATATGATGAGACACTTTATAAGTCTGTTTTAGTCTGCTAAGGTGGCCACAGCACAACACTACAGACTGAGTGGCTTAAACAACAGAAATTTATTTTCCCACAGTTCTGGAGGCTGGAAGTTCAAGATCAACGTGTCAACAGGTTTCATTTCCTGAGGCCTCTCTCTTGGCTTACAGGCCGCCTTCTCACTGTGTCCTCATATGGCCTTTTCCTCTGAGCACACATGCCCCTGGTGTCTCCCTCTGTTCTTATAAGGACACCAGTCAGAGTAGGACTTCCACATATGAATTTGAGGGGGTCACAATTCAGTCTACAACAGTCTAATAACAAAACTAAGAGCTAATATCTGAGTTTCTGGGCAGGTACTATGCTGTTTCTTGTAGGCTATCTCATTGAACATAATTACATATCATTATAAACCATTATATGTAATTCCAGCCTTGGATTGTATATTGTATATTGATATATTGTATATCAATATATTTCCTATATTTTTTATTAGAAGTTCTTTAAGATTTCTATGCTGATCTGATTGTTAGAGCTATTTGTCTCTACTATAACATGCTTCTCATGCTGTGTTCTGAGGATAATATCATTAGCCAAGTCTATGAGGCTGGTACAGAGACACAAAAGTGAGTAATCAAAATTCCTGCTCTCAGAGAGTACAACCTAGTAGGAAAGACATATTTTATGTATGTGTGTTGCCATGTATATTCAAAAATATTTTACAGAAGTGTTGATTATATTTACAGAGCCATTCTGCACATTTAAGTTCTTATGAAAGTTGAGGCATTGAAAATAAAAATAATGATTTCAAGAAAGAAGATTTGGTTTTGCATTATCTTTTCGAGCTACTTCAACCCTAACAAGGCAGAAATACACCGGATTGTATGTGACTTTAGACTGATTTCACAGTGACTGGAGAAAAACTACCTTGAATTTAAAGATGAGAAGTCATCATAACATATAAATACTATGCCTGACTAGGTGAAGGTGCTTCAAATTCCACTTGCTCTTTCAGAAGAAGAAAAACTCCCCTAAAACAAAGAAAGAAGGTTGTATTTTCATTTATTGTCATGCTTTCCAACGCGTTCCCTTCTTTCGCTACTAACACTAAGACCTCCTCTCCTGGTGGATGGCAAGGCCACATTTGCAGGTACTAAAGGAAATCCTCGGATTTGCAGGCCGATCTGCTTCTCAGCCATGGATGAGTGCAGTGACTGCACGGCGCAGGCGGAGCCCCTTCCCTCCCGCCTTCCTGAGCGCTCCTCAACCCACCCCAGCCCCAGGTCTCCCACTCTTCTTAAGGTGTGAGGGTCCCCCAGCTGAGTTCTGCATCCCTTCGGGGCTGAGCACTTCACTCAAGCGGTCTGCAGGTGCAGACTCGGGGAAGGCCTAGGCCCGGGCTAGAGACCCGGACCCCCGCCCAGCCCCACCCACGACCGGGATCCCCGGCCGGCCCCGCCCCGCCGCGTGCACCCGGGGCCGATAGATGGTTTCTGCAGTCTGTGTACCCAGTCGGGTTCTGCTGCAGCTCCACCCTCCTGGGCGTTTGCCCTTTACCCGCTCCCAACCCTCCCAACAGTGGGACCCCTTGCCCATGGAGGAGATGAAGTACCTGGAGCTCTACCTGGACCAGTGCGCCCACCAGGTGAGCCCGAACTGCCGCCACTGTCCCAAAGGCGAAACCCGCGTCCCCACCCTAGAGCTGAGCACCACGTCCTGCGCACTGAGAGCTTTGCCTTCATTCTCCCTTATATGGCCAGTGAGAGGCGGGCTTGATTACCCCTCTTTCAGTTGGAAAATAGAAGCTTCGAGAGAGGAAATAACTTGCCCAATGTTGCCAGCCAGAAGCCGAACCTGGTTTAGTGCGAATCCAGAGCCAAGATTATATCGTCCCATCCCCATTCTAAAGACACACGCACGAAGTGTTCCCCTTTGCGTCTCAGCTTTGCTAGGACAAACGGAGACAGACTTGTTTCCTACAGCCTTGATATTGCACATTTAAGGGATGGCAGCCTTGATGCCAAGAACAGGCCTCAAGAAATAGTCTGTCCAGTGGTTGCAGGTGGAGTTGGTGGGCGTTGGGGGAGGGGGAGATGCCAAAATGTGAATAGGAGACACCTGTGACCTCTTTCTGTTAGTAATTCTTAAGGTTCTTTTTTTTTTTCCAACTTAAAACATCTTTAAAATCAACTATTTTAGAAAAGAGAGAAAGGAGTCCTCAAAAAGAAAAGCAAAAGAGCAAAAAGACAATGATTGGCGCTAAGGTAGAAATAGTGAAGTCCCGTAGCCTTTAACAAAGCAAAGGAGAGCCTACACAGGAAAGGTTCTGGGAAAGATGAGTTGGTGGTTCTCCCAAAACAGTTTAACACAAAATTTCCTCAGCTGTAAGTAAAAGAAAAAGAAGGGACGCAAACTCAACAGTCCAAGTAGGTATATTGCTAAACCTGAGAGGGACCCCTCTCTTCTGGTGAGCAGAACCAAGAAGGTGTCTCTTACAGGCTAAGAGGGTTTTTTATGGCCAGGTTTTTTGGTGGGCTTTTTGAGGGGATGGGTCAGGGAAAAGGTGGGCTTGTAGCTTGCTGACGTGACTGGAGACTGCTTGTAGCCTAAGAAAGATGAAACCTAGGTCTCTCTGAGATGGCGGGTGGGCTTATTAAAAAAAAGTGGTACTCCTGTCTGGATTCTATCAGTAAGACCAGGGATGCAGTGAGTATGCTGTAAGTCTATGCTCTAAGGTGTGTTCTACAGGAAAACTTGAAAGGAGGCTGTCAAGGCTCCAACTCCTTCAGTATTTTGTTGCCATTGCCTTAAATTCCTTGCTGAAGTTTAGTCTCCTTGGGAGAGAGCTTTGTCCCCTGCTAAAATGCCACATTGGGGAAAAGGCGGGGATACACTGATTGTTGAGACATTAGTGCTTTAGAGTAAGTTGGCTGATGAGATCCTTTCCATCTAGTAAAGGAAAGGCCAAGGAGACAAAGGAATCAGGCCAGTGTCCCCACCTCACTTTTCTTAGGGCCAAGCTGTGGGGGTAAATGGGGCTAATTACCTAATTCAAAATGAAATATAGTCCAAAATCTTAAGAGAAAAACTTCATTCTTCTAAGTAGTTTCTTTTTTTTTTGAACTATTAGTCACCCCTGCCATCTGCTGGACTTGTAATAACAGAACAATTCAATAGACTAGCTAGATATTTTATCTTGGCTGAGGTAGCTTGTTACTAAGAAGATCCAACGTGAGGCATTTGTGAGTGTTGGGTTGTCGGAAGTAAGATCTAAAGGATGAGTTCATCCTGCAAGCAGTGCTCCAAATCTAGAATCTAGCCAGCAACGCAGGTGGTAATATATATATATATATCAAGGTAATCGATTTTTTTCCATAAAAGAGCCCATGAATTTTACATCAGCTGCTTCCCTCAGTTGTACACTTCATTCCCTCAGTTGATGGTAATGGAAGTTGAGCAGCCTTCCCTGGACTGGAAATACAATACATTGATTTAAACTATTCTCACCATTTACATTTCAATAACTTTTTTCCAATTGTAAATTCATATAACCAGACCGTTTTCTTATCTCTCCTTTGACTAGAAGGAATAGCAATTGGGTCTTTAGTGGAATATTGATTAGTGCTCAAGACTATATCTTAAACTTCCTGTTGTTCCTCTCTTTAAAATATGAATTTAAAACACTAAAAAAAAATCTTTAAATCAACTGAAGTTTATAATCAACTTAAGGAGTAAAGTAAATCTATTCTTTTCAGAGTACACACAATATAAAGCATGGTTGCTTAATTATCTCTACTACAAAATTGGATTTAGAGTGCAGCTTACTATGGATCTAACCAAAGTCGGAAAAACATTTTATAGAAAATGCTTTTTCTGCATTTTAATATGTATGTTCCTATTTCTATTAAATGTGCTGTATAATTGAACTTTATGATACTCTGTGGAAAGAGGCAGGACATGAATATAAGCTATCTTGAACCGCCTCTTATCCTAAACACATTGCCTGGTGATGTATCTCTTTGGTGTGACATGCTGTTCTGTTTATTGTGATTTGTTTGTTTTGGGACTGGCCTAGGATGATCTCGCCCCGCCCCCACCTGGGTCACCCCTGCTCAGCCTAGTTGGGCCTGACAATGTGTACAAACCAAATTCATCCAATCCAGAGACTGTGTTTAATTCACATCTTGAAGAAGTCAAAGAGACATCTGGCAGTTTCTCATCTGTGGAAGTCTGTAGCTTCCTACCAGATGAACTTACCCAAGAAAATAAAGACCAGGCTGTCATTAGAAGCAAGCGTGAAATTGAAGAAAATTGTAAAATTCAAAATCAGCAAAGTAGATTGCGGTTACCCAGCAAACAGGATATTGGCCTGGGCTTATTAAACAGCAGCAGTTTGTCAAATTGCTGTTCACACCTGCGCCCTACCAATGGTAACTCAGTCCAGCTCTCTCCTGAGAAACCAAGCTCTTTGCCTCTGGCATCCATAACTCCCATGATACCAATGACCCCTGTTTCCGAATGTTCTGGAATTGTGCCTCAACTACAGTAAGTTGTTTCATGTGTATGTTTTTAATGGGTGACACTTCTAGATACACATTTTATATTCCTGAATTGAAGATAACTAATTTCAGGGTAATAGTGTAGGGAAGAGGACTTCAGATTTCATTCCTTTGTCAGTTCTTATTTGTGGCTTTAGATAGTTTGATTATCTGTAAACGAAGCAATAATCCTTGATCTCCTAAGAGGGGTTATGAGTATATACATTCCTAAAGGATTGTATTGTTATGAAATACACTGTACAAAAGCACTGTAGCTGAAAATTGTGGTTGGGTCGGATAAACACAAAGAATATGAAGATATAAATTTGAATTCAGTTTGCAAATTGATTTGGAGCTGTGCTTTCTATTTTGAGACATAGTTTTGAAAAAGATTTAAAACTTAATTTTAGTCATGAAATTTTAGAATAAACTATTTTAGTACTTTAGGATTTTTACATTTTACTAGGGCGCATATTATTAGGTATTTCACATTTAGAGTAATTTTGCCCCTGGGAAGTCACTAATATACAACCTATGAAATAAAGATAATGCATTTTAATTCTTTTTATATGTGATAGAATTTTCTAAACTGACTTATTTTTCAGGAATATAGTTTCCACTGTAAATCTGGCCTGTAAATTAGATCTGAAGAAAATAGCTTTGCATGCAAAAAATGCAGAATATAACCCAAAGGTAAGATTTCTCAGTATTCTTTTTTAACAATTAGCTTATATTTAGATTTTCTTCTTATCATGACATTGACTCATTGTTTGTTTTTGTTTTTAAAAAAGAAAAAAATTGTTAGTGAAAAGCTTTTGGCAACTCAAGAGGTTAGTCTACACATTCTGAGTTATAAAAAATAATCTTTCTCTGTGATGAATAAAGCAGTAATTGAGCAGGTCCCAAAAGTTAAGATTTTTCCTTTGTTATTCAAACTGATTCACTATTCTCAGCATATGGAGATTGCTTGCTTTATTAAAATGCCATGATATTCCTGGAAATAAATTTTTCTAAATGGTGTCCTACCTAGCTGACATATGTTTTCTTGATTTATAGTTTCTCTTGTTGAGAATGCTATATTATTTAAGGTGCAAAGGTCAAGCTTCTGCTTACTAATGTAAGATTCAGGAATTTTTTTCCCCCTCAAAGTTTAGTAAATCTATTCCTTCTCATGTCCTACCAAGGCCAGGCTTCCCATTTTCAAAGGCCTATTTACCTAGGAAGTGCGTATGTTAGTCTGATCAACACTTAATGATTTGCTAGTCTCCGCACCTACCAGTATAAGCAGCAGTAAGACCTGGTCCCTGCTGGGGAAAAAGTTCTCTGTCTTGGGTGGTGGAGTGTTTATGGAATTAGATTAAAATGACCATGTTAGTGAGAACCCAGGGAACCTTGCCAGCATGAAGCATGGATTAAGCATTTGTGTGTTTATGGTAGTTGTGTTGCTGACAAATGAATTTAAATGTTACCCAAATACATGTAGCTAGCTAGGATGGGACAGAAACATGGTGATGAGCTAGGATTCTCATGGCTGCAGCCACGATTGACCATACTTTTGGGCAATATTTAATATTACGCAGTTTACCCATATTTTCTTCTCTACCATCCTCAGCTCTTCCTTTATTTTATTTCAGTGATAGGATCTCTTCAAACTTGGACTTGACAGCCAAAGAAATTCTGGCTTGCCACTTAAGCTACCTTAAGAATTTAACAAAATGAATACTGGGGGAGAATGCTGTCTATTTAGTAAACACCTGGAAAACATTCCTAGGCACTGACCGACTCTGTGTAGTGCTGACTAATGGTCCTTTTACTGTCTGTTAACACTTTAAATCTGAAGTTACCCATCCTGCCTTGGTCCTGTGGAATAGCTCTGACCTGTGGAACTTTTAGTCTTGCAGAGCACCCACCCCAGTTTCCTGCCCAGCTTAATGCGGGGAGAGGAGAGAAGGAGAAAGGAGTGATTGTGTAGGACCAGTAGAAGGAGCAGGTCTTTAGTGACACGTCATGTGGCAGGCCAGTCATTCCCAGCCCTCCTTGCCTC